CATATGCTAAAAGCAAGTAGTCTAGGGCGGCTTGTAACGTATAAAATTTCAGCACCATTTCAGCACCAAAATTTCAGCACATTTCAGCACCATTCGAGAGTGCGTGCTGATTGCTTGAACGACACTTTGATTTAGAATCAACCGCATTTCGTAGCGTCGCTCTCCAACTATGCAGTTGGCAACTTTTTCAGTTTCTATGACCAGTTGTTGTATCGTCCCCAATGGTCAGCGTGTGGCCGTCATGACCTTCATACGTTACTAGATTAACGGTTTTCTCGAAAAACGCACTTGGCAAATATTTTATTTGTTTTGAGATACTACTGGTGTTTACGAGCATCACCTTGTCTCGAATAGAACATGGTGGAACAACTTATTGACTGGGAGATTGAGGACTATTTTTATTATTATATGAGTAATAATACTTGTTTAGAAACTATTTTGGCCAGAACTACTATTGCTTTTGTAACGCTGTTTAGGCTTGGACGAACCGATTTCAAATACCGATACAGTGCTGTTGAAACTTATCGCTCAGCAAAAGCCCTTTTTACGCTCAAAAATCTTGGCTCAAGTCAAGTAGCCTTGAATGGTCTTGGTGAATCTTCATCCGTTAGAGCCTCAGTTAATCCAAGACCAGGTTATCCGAATTTTCTATTTTCTATCGTATTTTTAAAAGTCAGACTTTTCGTTAGACGGACAGTGTTCAGGATGTCATTGCGACCACAAAAGAAAATAAAACCCAGTAGGCGGGAGGTTATTAGCGGCCTTGTCGACAACCGGTGAGCTGCGCGCATTAGTGAGTGATACTGATGAGAATGTGAACAACCACCAGGATGACCTCCGAAAAGATAGACAGGCAATGAATATTAGACGAAAGTACGCAGCCCAGAACTAAAGGACCTGCCATAACTGCGCCCGGTGTTTGGGAGCACCCTAGTAATATCACTAATAGGGGACAATCGTGTTGACTTACCGGGCGTTCCTGAAATTCTTAGTAGTATCACAAACTTATCTGCCTCGAACTATTGAAACATTTTCTTTGCCCTGCGCTTGCACCAATCAGTAATTGGCAGTCCCCATCGTAACTGATTCTTTTGTCTATAAGTAGGATTTCTCACACATTGATTTCGCACTGATTTTCTTGAGGCATTTTTGGTCGAACAATCGCAACGCATGTTTGTTTATCTCTAGGTTTGCTGCAATCAACAGTTTCGCCAGTGGATGAAAAAAACAGTCAGGAAATGTCCGTCTCCACTGGATTACAAGGACCAATAGTAAAAAACAACGAAAGTGACAGAAATAGTCAAAATGCAATAAATCGGAATGAGGAAATGGGAATGGGAAAAAACACAGCTCCAGCACCTAAATTCTCTCAACCTGAGCAACAAAATATTTCTCTTTTCTCAGCTCAGACTACAGCTTCTAGCAGTGTAGGACCTGAAAATTCATTTCTTTCTACCGCATACTTGATGAACAGTTCTCTTCATACGGATTTTTTGCCAGCAGTAGTCAGTGTCAGCGAGCAACAGGCGACAGAAAATACGTATAACGAAACTGAAATAACACGCCAACAACATATAACTTCTCAGCACATGTCTTCCGGACTTAATCAAGATGGGCAGCAACAAGTCCTCCAGAAATCTGTTGCATGCATAAATGCACAATCGGATCAGGCCCCTGGCGCTTCAATAATCAACCTTCAGCAACAGCATCAGCAGCATCATCGTCAACAACAGCACAAAAAAAATCTAACTGTTGCATCAATCTCATTGCCGTCAGCAAGAGGACTTTCATCCCTGGAGAGTGATAGTACTATCTCAGATCATGACAAGCAGCAAAAATCCCGGATAACATTCTCGCGACTGCCGATTACAACAATGACAGATAAAGAGGCGAATACAAGCAAAACTACTGAAGAATCGCAATCCACCGATGATCCCGATAGCCACAAATTAGAAAAGGCAGAATACAAGCATAATACCGAAGTCAGTCATTTAATAAAACAACTAGCTACAACAAATGCATCATCAGTGTTGATATCCGAACAAACAGATCGCAGAGAAAACATGTCAAGAACTGCATCACTTGCGAAAACCGAACCGAGACAATCAATTCGGCTAGACAACAAAGCCTCGCAGCCCCCAGGACCTGATTGCACTTATAAATTTGCAGCCACACTAGCAAACAGTTCAGCAGCAGCTGGACACTCAAGTCCAGCAACGGGTCACGGAAGTGGCCATCTCGAAAAGAGTGAAAGTGTATTGGAAATGAACACTGGACAAGACCCAATTACTGGTGAAGAGCAGCCTAGCCACATTTCTGAGTCACCAGTGGACCTTCCCGCTGAAACTCCACCATTGGCCGTAAAACCTGAACTCCCAAATAATAGTTCTACTGCAAAACCAGATAATTGTTCGGTAACGAATGTAATTCCAGAACTTGGTTCTAGTGGACACGAGCGAGCTGCTGCTCCACGTTCAGCTGACAGTGATCCTATGGGTGTCGCTGGAACGAACACAAAAACTGTGACGCAAATCAAATCAATATCTGAAACGCACTCAAGCGAAAGTTCTGTTGCAAAAACGGGGCTGAAACCACCTTTCGAAACGCTGCTTGTCAAACCAAGAATTCAATCCCTGACACCTTTCCGAAATTCCAAAACTAATTCTGGCTCTAGTCTAGTTCCACCAAATGGACATTTATCACACCGACAATGGATCGTTCCTGGTGCTGCAGATGGATTCCAAATTGATTCTGCTGGAAGCGGTGCACCTATCAAAGATAATAATAACATTTCAGCGACCGATGAGCAATCTCATCACGAACACTCAGAATCCTTTTCAAATTATGACGATCATTTAGAAGCAAGTGGTGTAGCACTACAAAATGAACGGGATAGAAGTTCTCCCGGATTCAGTCCACCCCGTTCATATACAGCTGCTGCAGGTTCACCCCGTCATACAACTAGTCTGCATCCAGATGTCTTTGCCTCATCGCCACAAACTACTATTACATTAAAAATGCCTAAAGCGAGCTCAAAAACAGAAGAAAATACAGATGGGCTAGAGCACAAAGCAGTTCGCGTAGAAGGGGATATGGGCACAGCTGACGAAAAAGAATCGTCGTTGAATGAGTGGCTTCTGAATAATCAAGGAGTGTCACAGAGACCAATTGCTGTGGCTACCAAGAATAATGTTTCGGAATTCATTACTGATAGTTTGCAAAATACGGATGCTGTTTTAGTGGAAAAAAGCAATGCAACTTTTCCGGATCAGGACTGTAACACAAGTACAGAGGATAAAGCAGAATATGGAATTAAGAGCAGTGGAACCAACTCGATAGATAAAAATGATGAAAGTAACCTACAGGTGATCTCAACAAAATCTATTAATGAAAAAGAGGTATTTCATATTCTCTCAATCTATTCTCATTAGCCAACGAAGGAGAGGCTGTGGAAAAGGCAGAGAAGCGAAAGAGAAGGAGCAAAGGGAGGGAGGGCTGAAGCAGATGCACCCATTTTCTCACAGAATGATGGAGCCGCATTTTTAGACAATTACGAAAACTCGGCTCGGCTCGGCTAGTGATCTATGGTGTGCTGACCTTCCAGTTCTTTGCCCTGTCATCTCTGCCTACACTATTTCGTGGCGCGCTCGCTGGAACTTTGCCAGACGCGCTGGGCAGCGCTGCCCAGTGTCTGACGACTGGATCACATGGCGCGGGAGGGATGGGGGGTGGGGGGATTGGATGTGGTTGGGAGATGTTGGTTGGTGGTTGCCTAGATACAGTTCAGAGGGCGCGAATAAGACCAGGATAAGGGGGAGGGATGAAGTTGCTGGTCAGGAGTTCAGGACGATAAACGGTGACGGGTTGGAGGTGATGGGTGCCCCGATGCGGCTCTGGAGGCAGGGATTGAGGACAGGATGTAGGAGGGGAAGAAGGGTGCTAGTCAGAAGTTTGAAGCAAGAGTTGCAGATAGCAGTAAAGAGGAAAGTAAACCAACACCTCACTACAAAGAAAAGTAAATTAAAACAAACCTGAATTTGTTAATAAAAGAAAAAAAAAAAAAACAAAATCAAGGAATTGGAGCCTGTAATCAAAAGCAAAGGCAAACAAAAATTGAGCTTATACGAGTACGATTTGTCTTACAAAAACCCGTCTTCAGTAAGCGGTCACCACATTTATGAGGTTTATCCTTAGGTGAAGCTGAGGGTAAATAAGTTCGATATGGTCTGCTAAAGCTTATGCTTAGGTGGAGCTGAGGGCAAATAATTTCGGCGAGATTTATTGAAGCTTATGCTTAGGTGAAGCTGAGGGCAAATAAGTCCGACTGGATTACATAAAAATTGCAGGCAATTCCGAAGTGTTGCCTCTCGGAGCTTGCAACTGTGCACAACAGTTATGCGTTTGTTTTTTTGTCTTCAAAATATCACAGAAGCAAAGGCTACTTTCATCTCCACGCATCCATTCTACCCTGTTTTTGCCCGCTTCATAGAACTTATTCGCTCTCAGCTTTACCTAAGCATCAGTTTCATAAAAAGGAAAGTCCCAGGAGCACGCTTCCTCATCCTTCCCGTTCTCCACCGCTCCCTTCGCCCCTCAAATGTACGTTACTTAGTCAATCGGTAAAAGATCTACGGCATTTAGTCCTTACATCCACCTATCCTAGCCCCTCTCCTGCCTCGAATGAAACCCGCACATACCACCCGCCACTTTCATCTGCCACATTCAAACTGCTGCCACCCACCGTGGGGCAGCCCTACCTGCCGTCGTTAGAAAAAATTTTTTGTGGCTTGTGTATGAGACGAGAGGAGCCAAGCCGAACCAAGTTTTTGTAATTACCCCTTTTTGTGAGTTTTTATGCATTTTTGCTGTGCAGCGCTATAGCGCTGCTACAGTCAGCAAGGACGCACATTGCCGAGAGGCGTGTGTGTGTGTGTGTGTGTGTGTGTGTGTGTGTTCAGATGCGAAGGAACTTTGTCACCCATTTTCACCCCAGCAACCAGGAACGCTGGAAGGCCGAAATTCTGGGGACATAATCCTACACCGTGTGTCATCCTCCCATTTTAAAATTTTCGCTCATGCATGCCTAAAACCTGCGTATCGACGCCTGAAAAAAATATGTTAATTTCTTTGGCAGGAAACAGTTTCACGAACCTGGCAATATGCAAAGCTGAAACAATGCAGGGGTATTCTCTGTGCATGTGCGAGCTAGAAATTTCAAATTCTGCTGCCGCGCACGTTTGTGTAGCTCATATGATCGCGTCAAAGTTTGCAACTTGGCATTGTGTTAACGCAAGAACTTGCCGGATTTGCTGGAAAAGAGCGGCACAAAATTTTGTCAGCATGTTTATCACCCATATAGAAAATCACATGCCTAGAATGAGTACCGATCTGCATTTACGTCACTATCTAGAACACTTCAAAGATATCTGTGGCATAGTGGCTATTTTTCTTGCTGGGTAAGGTGCGAGGCTAAACATTAGCTGGGATATTCTACTTTCAAGTACGGTCTTAATTCTGCTTGGAAGTGAAATTCCCTGCAGGTAGGCATAAGAAATACTTAGCTTTACCAAAAAATCAGAAAAGTACTCAGCTTTACGTATTAGAATTATTTTTTCTGATTTTGCAGCGAACGACCGCCCTCATCCTCTCCCAATATGTAAATGACTCATTTACAAATTTGGATTTTTACGCGTTTTTGCCTATATGCAAATTGCAAAAACGCATATTGAGACGACCCCGTCTGTGTGCGTGTGTGTGTGTGTGTATGTATGTGTGTATGCGTGTGTATGTTTGTGCGTGTGTGTTCGTCTATCCGGGTATTTCAACTCTGCAACCAAGCAAGTTCCAGCGCCGAGATTTTGCTAATGGGTACCCTGGCCAAGTACCACCCCAGAACCGCGGTACCACCCTCACGCACATCTGGGCCCCGCGTACGAGAGGGGGAAAGTTTTGGCGGGAAAATTGATAACTCGGGAACGCGAAA